TWRTACTACGGCGCCATCAAATTCTATATACAGTAGACACTAAAGAGTGTTACGTAAGTTGAGACTCACCTGCATCAGTGGCACAATCTGAACGCATTCGATGCATCGAGTAATTTTGACCATCGTTTCTTCCGCTTTCTTTTTCACCGATTCCTCATTCTCGTCCTCCTCTTGTTGTTTATTTTCTTGATTTCGGATACTTTTACTAACCATCTCGGACATCCCTTTATTTTCTTCTTTCCTAACCTGTATTGTAAAAGATTCTTTCTCTCCTTCCTCTTTCTTCTTTTTTTGCTGATCGTTGAGATTTTTACACGAACCCGATGACAACGATGGTTTCTCGTTTGTCAAGTTTATTTTTGTCATATTTGTTTTTTCGTTTTCTTTTTCTTTTTCTTTTTACCAATAATATAACACTAACACTAATTGATATGATTGTTGTCTATACACCGACTTTAATATAACCGAAATAAATAAAACGATAAAATATATAAGATAAGGATTAAGATAATACGCAAATAAGGGCGTACACGCGAAAAGTTCGAGGTTATGTACGTAATCGATCTCTCGACTAATTCGCCGCAGCGTGTGTCTTCTCTGCACTCCCTAACGAGATTCACTATGATACCGTTCAACGATTGGTTCACGTGTTATATACTTCCCCGACACCAAAATTGGAGCGAGAGAACAAAAGAATTTGTCGATTTAATGCCAGTTCTTCCTTCCTTCCTTTTTCTCGTTCTTTCTCACACTCACTTAACCAGTTTATTTGAAGTATATCTATTTAATCAATTTATATATCTTTCTATCAATCTCTTCCTACACACAATTTCGAATTTATAAATAATAAAAACAAATAACAAGTCTCTCTCTCTCTTTAAATGGGATGCGTGTAAACGTTTTTGAAAAGAGACACACACACACACAAAATAAGAATACCAAATAAGGTTAGATTAACCTCCCCGTTTTAATAATAATTATCGTGATGATAATTTAAACGAAATAATATCACCGTTTAACGTAATAATATTGAAATAATACGAATAATAATGGTTTCAATGATAATGCGTAAAGATTGCGGAAAAAGTAAGAATTAAATGCGGAACGTGAACGACAGGAAGTTTGGAACTGAGATTCTCGAGTCGGTCCATTCGACGCGCATCCGTCGCCCCACCCGAGTCGAGCATCGCCCTTGCCTTGCCCTGCCTTGCCCTGCCCTCCCTTCTCTTCCCTCCCCTTGCCTTGCCTTGCCTTGCCTTACCCCACTGACTAACAGTCTACGCCACCAGACCCGAAACGACCGAACTCCCAGGAACAAAGATAACGCGAAAGAACGAACGAAATTCAAAACAGTGCATTTATCCGATTTCTTTTTATTTTTTTATTTTTTTATTTTTACCGACCGTTTATCGGTAATTATTTATCACGTTTCTTGTCGACACATATGTAATCTAAACGTTCTCTTTCATCTACCACTTCTGCTTTTTTCTTTTTCTTTCGGCATTGATTTTTTATTTGGTTTTTTTAAATACATCGTTTGTCAATTTAAATCCTTCTCTAATGAAATATATATATTTTTTATTGGTGCGATAAGTATATGCAATAATCTTTCTTACGGATTATTTTCTAATTAATCTAATCGTTGATTTTTTTTCTTTTTTTTTCACGAGTAAATTTAAATAATAAGTAAATATATGTGTATGCATATATATATATATATATATATACATGTACGTATGTATATATGACATTTATTAAATTGAATGATATAAGAATGAAGTGGATTAATTTTAGACTCTGTTTGTTAGTCTATTTATCTCGAGTGAACGTGATTGTTTTTGCTCAAGGTCGATTGAAGGTTAACACGTTTCTGCTGTCAAATCTCCTCGACTCCGCAAGTTTACGACATTATAGTCATAAAAATTCTATATATGCATATATGTGTATATATATATATATATGAATACTTTTACTATCTTCCTTTTTCTTTTATTTTTATTTTATTATTTTCCTTTAGGTAGCCATTATATCCTGGTTCGTGGTTTCGCAAAATGTGGTTTCTATTTCCTCGCCATGGTATTTTATAAAGATAGTCAAATGATAAACATGTGAAATAATAAAAAAATCTTACACGAAACAATAAAATAAAATAAAATAATAGAAAGAATAGAAAATTATAGTCTTATTTTAGATCACAAAGTGAACAAAATAATTGTCGACCGAGGAGCAGTATAAAATGGGGAGAAAATGAAAAAGGTGAAAGAAAAAAATAGAAAGAGACAAATAATATTTACGTAAATCGAGCTATAATCGACGAATATGTACAGGTGTTGCATTATCAATTTTCGATTGATTTATCGTAAGACTTGTCGACACACGCGCGATTATTATCATCATTATTGTATATTTCTCTCTCTCTCTCTCTCTCACTGTATACATTGAAAACAAGAAGAATGGCATATATAGATAGAAAGAGAGATTGTGTATCTACCTTGTGAAAGTAACGAGGATAAAATCGCGTAGAAAGGGAAATAGAGCGAGATAGATAAATAAATTTCTGTTTTCTGACATATAACTTGAAAAAAAATAAAGAAAGAAAAGAAAAAAGATAGATATATATATATAATTAAAACATTATATTTCTAACGTTTAACAATATTTTTAAATAGAAATGTTATATTCGATACTTATTTTTACTCATAAATGTTGAATGAAAATATATGAGTAAAAATAACATTATGTTTTAAAGAAAAAGAGATTGTGTTTCGATTGATCAGGGAAAATGTAACGTCGGATAGTAATTATCATATCGTTTCTAAATCCAGTTTATTCAACATGGAATGAGCACGAAGGGGCTGCAAGGAACTTTAACGTTTTTTTATCTACATATTTATATATATATATACAAAGTACATAGAAATGTGAGCGTAAGTTGCGTACGTTCTCCGGCTCGACGAAATTGTCGCTCATGCCTTCTGTGCGTGTCTCTACGTGTCGCCTGGCAGGGCCACGTTCAAATGCTACTGTACATATTTATACATATATATATATATATAAATCTACCCGTCTATCTATAATCTACTTTTATCTACACTTCGGTATGTACCTATGTATATAAGTATATAGGTAGCTCGTGCCAGTAACGCTGGCAAGTATTAGATGATGCCAACATGGTCAAGATTGAAAACAGTGGCTTATATATTTACCTTGAAATCTATTTAATATTCATTTTATTTGGACACTTTGTAGAGAAGTTTTTAAATGAAATAAAAAAAGAGAGCTTTATCAAAGTTTCATGTGTCATTATAAAATACGTAGTCATATTATAATATGCAAATGAACAACAGTAGAATGCGATCAATGTAAATCTACCCTACTCTTGTGGATGACGATTATTATAATATGATTGATCTGATAGATATCTTAATTACAATTTATTTCCTTATTCCTTTTTCTTCGATTATATTTATTTTTAACTATTAGAACGTGTATTGTACAAAAAATTGTCCTAACTATGATTTTCAAGTAGTTTTCGCAATCTTGTAAAATAGAGTAAACTTTCTCGAAGTAAAACTCGAACTAATCAAGATACCACAAAACGTTTTTCTTAGGACCTTAGACGAGTCCAAGTCTTTCCTCTCTTTATATACATATATACATATATGTTCACATATACATACAAATATCTATGTGTTTGTTTCTCTACAGGTATTCTTGAACCTTCTTGTTAACTCTAACATAAGCTCTTCGTCTAAGAAGGAAATCCTCGTGGTTTGTTCTAACGATGGTAACGAGTCAACGACGTTTACCGGAAAATACCTAAGCTCTTAATTGCCAATCGCTAATCGCGATAATCATGGGCTACAATTTAAGAGGAGACAAAGAAGTCGTTTGTTCCAAAGTTATATAAATTCCTATTGAGAGTCTGCCGTTCGTGGTTAGCTCTCTCTCTCTCTCTCTCTCTCCCTCTCTCTCTTTCTTTCTCTTTCTAATCCCCTGCCTTCGTAATATCCACGCGCTATTACGTTCTCGACTAACTCGAGAAAAGAAGAATGAAAAGAACGGGAAAAAAAAAGTTATGTATCCTACGCAGACATTGATGGTGAAGGTAGAGTATAATGGATATTTAAAAAATAAAATAATACAACAACAAAAAATCACACAAACAAAAGATTTTTATTTAAATTCGTAAAATATCACGATGACACGTATTTTGTAATGAATTGTATTGCGTAATAAATTAAGACGTAACACACGAAGATAAAAGAAAAGAAAAATCTATAAACAGATATTTAACACCAATTGTAAATTACCATTTAATTTGTTAATCTTACGCTTGGAATAATATAAAAATACAAAATCAAATTTCAAGAAAGTTCTTTGTGTCGACTAAAGAGAACACTTGTTCGCGTCGAACATCTGTCGAAATGATACGAAATGAAATGAAAAGAAAAGAAAAGAAAAGAAAATGAAAAAGAATGTAGATATAATTGAGAGAAGGGATAACTTGAAAGCGTATGCGTATTATAAATCAATTAATACACGTCGTTGCACTCGTAGACTCATACAATTGATTCTTTTTTCAAACGCGAGTTAAACACTTGCGTGACATTGACACGTGGAAAAAGAAAATGAAGAAGAAGAAGAAGAAGAAGAAGTAGAAAACAAAAAACTTCTAAATCAAAGATCGATCAAGAATGTTTATAACAGAACAAATGCGATATCTCATATGAATTAATTGATTAATACGTATTATTATTATTATTATCATTATTATTAGAATTATTTGTACTATTTCTTTGATTCCTTTCTCTTTTCTTTGTCTGCATCAAAGATATCAGGTTTGTTCATACGATTTCTTCTCCCTCACTCTCTTCCTCTTTCTTTTTTTCTTTCTTTGTTTGAAAAAGATCCATCCAAGAGATTCGCGAAATCGGTTGCGCGATGGTTCCAGATCGGTGAATCCCTTTCGAATCGTCTACCCACTAACAGGAATCTTTTAAATAAAACGAAGAACACGGTAGGAACCGAAGCATTTATAGGATGAACCATCCGTTCCAGGTGACCGAGCTATTTCGTGCTGACGAAAATCTTAACGAACATATAAGCATACATGGGTTTCTACGTGGGTTTGCATCTGTACCATATGTTGTCGTTAACTGGTCTGTAAAAGAATAAGAAAGAGAGAGAGAGAGAGAGAGAGAGAGAGAGAGGACAGTTGCTCTATTCCCGCAAAAATCAACGAAATAAAAAGGCAACAGGTCGACCTTCGATATAGTCCATGTCTCTCAGTAACGATCACCTCTCTCTCTCTCTCTCTCTCTCTCTGTCTATCTATCTCTATGTCTTTCTTTAGCTTTTACTCAGTCTTATGTGCCAGCCATTCTCCGTCTCTCTTCAATGTACCTACTGCATCACACCGTAGGCGCTGCGTTGCTAACTTTCACGTATCATAATACGCGGTGAAAGAATGTGGTTTCCCTTTCAAATTACAAAATACGTTACGAACAAGCGTTCGCGTTTCGCGAACTTCCTTCAATTTCGAATATTCTCTATTTTTTCCCTCCTACTATCTTTCTCTTCTATTTACTTTTTATCAACGATTGACAAATAAACAAGATCTCAACCGATTTCTGAACGAAATTTAGAAGATAACGAAAAAACAAAAGAGAAAAAAGGAAGAATAAAGATTCTTTTGATTGAAACTGTGTGTGCACGTGCAGGCGTATGTGTGCGTGTGTGAAATATGTTTCAAAATGCAATAAAAAATCGATCAATCGATCGTGTTCCGAATGTGGCGGCTGAGGGAGAGAAGCCTTGATTAAAATATTATATTACGACGGTCGTTACGATCGGACGCATCGTTTTACCGCGACGAAAGATACGGACTTGACCCGATTTATTTCATATATTACTATACTATTATAGTACTACTGTATTACTCTATGTAGATATACACCTTCTAATTATGAATATATCGTTTGGTCGTTGGGGTTACCCTTTCTACCCTTTTTTGTCACCCAACGTTCTGAATCTGTCGTTAACTTCACCGTCGCCACCGACGCCGACCGGGCTCGGTATCGTCTTTCTTCGTCTCATTAAATTAGACGCGAAAGGATTTATGTGGGTTTGGTTGGTACAAAACTAGGCCAGGGATATATACCTCTAATGCTCACTAGGAGTTAACCTACCAATAACGATTTACACGCAAGCTTACTACTTTTAATACTTACAAAACAAAATCTTTCTTTCTGTCTTTTTTTTCTTTTTTTTTTTTTTGTATTCAATTTATTTTTTATACCTCTATATACGAATAATTATATTCCACGTGTTTATAATTTGGAAATATTTGAAGTCTTTTGTTTATTCTTAAAAGACAAACAGATTAACGAGCGATTTTGACTAGATAATTAAACATCGATAATAATTCATTTTCTGTTTATTGTATTAAAAATTTCGAAATCTTTTAAGTGATCTTACTATCGAAAATCTAAGTATCGATTGTTATCTTATATTGTTATATTATATGAGATAAATAAAAAGAATGTCACGTACTTCGATACGAACGGAAAGGGTGCTAAACTAGGATAAAAAAAAAAAAAAAGATCGAAAGATAGAAAGATAGATAAAACTACTATGATACGATCGAATTGTCACGGGACCGGTCTTTCAGCACGTAACAAGTCGATGCCAAGACAGTGTAAATAAGTAAGTAAATATATAAGTATAACACAAATACAAAAAATCGATGTCGTGAAATTCATTAAAAGGCATATGTATAAGTATTTGCAAATCTTTTAGAAGTAATGTCGCACGTTCAGATTAGACCTTTTCTTTCCAATTTACTCCAGCCGTCTTTCTTAAATCTTACCAGATTAAACGATGATCTTTCAATAATTAAGACATTTTTTTACTGCATCGAAGCAACGCCATTTGTCTGGCAAATAAAATTCTTCGAAAACGTGTGGAAATGGTGTATCCCAACCGGTGACCCTCATAATTGGAGATTCCAAATTTAAAAAGCATTCCTCCTAAAAAATATACAAAATATTATAATATTTCATTAAATATATTACATTGTGTTATCACATACAATTTAATTTTTATTTGTTTTTTTTTATATTTTTTTCCTTATAAAGTAATAGTAATATTAATATAAATTAAGATAAAGGTATTTTTTATGACTAATTGTAAGCTGATTACGTAATACAATTTAAAAAAAAAAAAAAAATTCCCCAAGAAAAGAATAATTATTTTTTCCTTTGTGTGTAATAGTGTTTAATATATTCATTTATATATATATATATATATACGTATATCTACATATATACTTTATATACCATCTATATAATAGCGCGGTATAATTTCAAAGTCGTAAGAAGAAATTCAACGTCTGGTAATTAATTTTATTACCGCTAATTGCACTCAATTGCAATGATCAAAGATATTAACAATCGTAGCGTAGCGTGCGTTGCACCCGAAGAAAATGGAAAAAAAAAGGAAAGAAAAAAAATTCTTTCTTGCGAATATAACCGTACAAAGAGACGTTCAGTGATATAATACATATATACATATATGAGTATTACATATATCTCCTGCCTATCTAATTATTATTCTATAATCTATAAATTGTATCTCTCTCTCTCTCTCTCCTTCTCGATATCTGATCGTATATGTAATAACATTTTACAGCACCTAGTTGATACGATAAAGAGAATGGATTATTTATGAAGTAACATGCATTTTTAAATGTAATCTATCGATCTTATATCTTATTGAAATCAACAAAAAAAAAAAATCACGCCAATGATTTTTACCTGAATACGTGCTGCTATTTCTGCTCCAAATCCGTTGGTCCTTGGTGCTTCGTGTGCTACGATTACGCGTCCAGTTTTTTTTACTGACTGCAATAAAAAAATATAACTAAATAAATAAATAAATAATATATATATATATATATATATATATAATATCATTTTAAATAGAAATAACAAAAATATATGTATAAAGAGAAAGTTTGTCAGATGATGATTCAA